CAAATAGGCACATACGAGGGGTGTTACATTTTCTTCCCTTGCTAGATCGACACTCATTTCCTCTAGAAAACTCCAACAACGGACCGTCAAATCAAAAACCTTGGAGAACGTCGTTCCATGTAAACCTATTTCTTCTGGATTTGGATTCCCCAACCAGAGTAAAATCACAATTCTGATGGAGCTGATGGGGCTTTGATTTTTAGAACTCTGTTTTTGGTAGGGGTTTCATTTTCAAAAATCATGTTTGGTGGGAGTTTGATATCTCACTCCTATTCCAACTACCCTTTTATAATGTATGTCATAACAAACTAAATAATATAAAATGCCTAAAATGCCCTAAATCCCTTGCACTAATAAGATTCTTTTTATTTGTTGATTTCCCAAACTGCACCCTATCTAAAATAATGTGGCTGAAGAGGGTGTATAACACCAAGCATTCCAATACTCAAGCTTGGCTCGATATTATACTCAAGTAGCTCGAGCTCGACTCGAACCAAGTCGATTTCGAGTCGGTCACGGTTATCTCTTGAGTTGGCTCGACTTATTTATAACCCTTAGCTCCTAATTTACTCCTAAAAACATTTTCTGAGTAGTTGATAGGAATGATATTTGAAAGTAACTTCTTATAAATGCAAAATGAAGAATAAAATATATACACAAAAAAGTTATACACTTTTGTTACGACACACATATTCCTCATATCAAAAGCCCAGTTGATGCCAAGGAATCATGCTGACCAAGACCAACCATTAGAGATGAACGAGATATCTCCTCCACTTTTCCCTCTTTTACAGAAAAAACACGTTCCGCCATTAAAACAGTTTCCAAACGATGAGCAATCACAATCACCTACACACATACATCATACACACCACCAATCATTCACCTATCTATATATATATATATATATATATATATATATATATATATATATATATATTTACTTAATACAGAAAGTCCCATTAAGTCATTTATCAAGACATCACTTATTTGCATGGACTTACAGTACGAGTTTTCATTAATCTCTGCAATGCTTGTCTCACCAACATCTCTGACCTCGTATCCAAACCAGAAGTTGCTTCATCAAGAACAAGAATAGAAGGATTCTGATACAGACCCCGAGCAATAGCTACTCTGCATTTTATTCATTCATTTTCTTATTATATTAATAGCATCCTACTTTCACTTCAACTAATTGTAGATTTTTCAAAGTAAAAAGAAATGAAAGTAGGTTGCTATTTCCTACTTACCGTTGCCTTTGGCCTCCACTCAAAAGTGAGCCTCTAGGCCCGATATTTGTTGCATATCCTTGAGAGAGTGTTTCAATGAACTCAACTGCATTTGCAATTTCTGCTGCATTCTTCACTCTTTCCATATCGATTTTACTCATCAAATCTCTATACCCAATATTTTCCGCAATTGTCCCTGAAAACAGTGTCTGATACCAATTCATTTGTTATATAGTAACAATTTTTATAGTCATTTTGCACAAATATAATTAAAATTTAATTTTCTGGTACTTACAGTGTCCTGAGTCACCAAACCAACATGTGTCCTTAAACTTCCCAAAGAGATGTTTCGAATGTCATGGTTATCGATGAGAATACAACCTATTATCAACAAAATTTCACCATTAATAATAACAATAAAAAATAGAAAAAGAAATAACTAGTGTTTAGAGGGTTTTGACTTTTGATTTTTACCACATAGAGGATCATAGAGGCGAAGAAGCAACTTGACAAGGGTTGTCTTTCCTCCCCCTGAAGGCCCAACAAGAGCAACGGTTTCTCCAGCTTTGATATGAAGATCCAACTTGTTCAATATGAGAGGCATATTCAGATTATCACCATATCTGAATGAGACTTCATTGAATTTTATCTCTCCTGCAACAGACTCTAAATCAACTTCATTTATGTCCTCAATAACCTATTATGCACATCACATGTCATATAAGATTGTTTGTAAATTTATGTAATTAATAATTCAAGCTCATAAAGCTCAAGACTTACCTTGGGCTTAAAACTCGATAGCTGAAACAAACGTTCAATGGCAGGCTCTCCTTGTTTTAGCTCATTGTATGCTTTTCCCACATCCTGCATGGTTTTCTTAAATTCAGACTCATAATTTTTTTAGACAAACTCCTCAAGGCTGAATTCACCATTATGATAAAGAGAATTATTAGCACGATAAAGACAGAAGTTGTGTTCAAACTGCAAATAGAAGGTGAATGGGTTACATGGATAATGATTTCTTCATACAATCTAAAATCAATTTATATTCCATTTCATGGGTTCCACAGATGAGTAGCATCGTAAATAAGTAAATATGTAAACATCACAAATCATAATGGAAGTAAAGTATGAATATGAAATAAGAAAAAGGTAAGGGAACAACCTGAATTGGCTCAATCAATAAAACCAATGATGTTATGAACGAAACCACATTAGACAAATCACTTGAGGTCACCAATGAGCCAACAAAAATCAGAAGTAGAGCCCCACAAAATGTTACTTGTACAATATGAGGAATCAAGGCCTTTAATCTCTTCTTATTTAAACGTTCATATAGGTCAGCATTAGCAAGTTTCTTGAACCTCATACACTCATTGTGTTCTGCATTGTTTGCCTTCACAAAGAGGATTGATGGGAGTACCTAAACCAAATCAATATTTACAATTAATATATATATATATATATATATATATATATATATATATATATATATATATCAGATAAAGTAGTAGTAGTTACTTGACTCCATGAAGTATACCTCATTCAGATAAGCCGAGATAGCAGCAATGCTGAAATTTGCTTTATTTGATGTTTCGCGAAGCTCTTCACCAAAATATGCATTTACAAAGGCCATCAATGGTATCACCTTCAAACATTTCAAGCACCCTTCAATTTCATTTTGCAAATTAGGTGATACTGTAACAACAAACAAAGAGAATCTTTTGCAGTTTTACTTACCAAGGCAGAAACTAAGGACAAAACAGGGCTAATAACCAGCATCTGAGTTGCCATTGCTAATAGTTGCAGTGTACTGGGTACAATGGTCTACAATACAGAAACAAGAAGAAAAAAAGAGTATACTTTCAAAAATGGAGAAAGCAGTCGAGCACACAATCGCATAAATATCAAGAAATAGAAAAAGAAATACTGAGTACTGACATTCAATAGAGCGTAGATGGTATCAGCTACATCTGAAGCCTCGGCAGTAATCCTGTAAGCAACATCTCCCACTGACTTCCCAGAGCCACCTTCAAAGAACCCTAAATCTCTCTGCAAAACCCTCTCAAACACATAAACCCTCATCTTATACACCGACCGAAGCGACGCCTCCCAAAGTAAAGACTGCTGCAAGTAATTAGAAATCAACCGAACCAAAAACAAAACCCCAATCAGCACACCCTCCTGCCTCAACCCTTCGACATTCATCACGGCAGAGAATTTCCCTACTTTGGGTACGATGGTCGATAACGAATAAACCGAAACGGCGCTGCATATCCAACCCTTGACAATCGTTTTCCATTCCGATTGGACGTAGGGCTTAACCGAATCGAGTGAAGTAGGGAGCTTGAGTGAACAAGATATGGAATTGAATTTGAAGGGTTTAAGATGATCACGGTTCGTAAAAGGTGATTTGCGGGTACTGATCAAATTTAACCGATTCAATTCTCTCTGTTTGAATTTGAGCAACGAAGATGATGGTGGAATTAGAAGAATCATCGGCAAAGACTAAAAACGGTTTGGGTGTTCCCGCCGGAAAACTGCTAAAAGTAACGGATGTTACTTTATTTTCCGAATATCTAGTTTTTAGATATTTTAAAGCCTCAAAGAAATAACAATATTTCCTTGATCCTACATACTACATAGTGTGCTGCTACTTCAACTTCACGGTACAAATCACAACCCACCAACTAACTTTCTTTCTCCACTCTCGTCTTGATGCCTGCTTGGCGAACTCCTCCTGACGTGTCCTTAGCACAATGCAGATGTGGTGTAGCGCATGCTTAGCACCTCTCACTCCCTGAAGCCTAAGGCTAAAGGGAGTGATGTCACTCTTGTCATATATTTTTTGTTGCCATATAGGCGCCACTTCACTTTTGCCACACCACTTAATTTTCTTGCAATTTAGAAAGTATGATTTTTAGAGTTTTAAAATTGAAAAAATAAAATAAAACAAGTTTTGTGATTGGTTGGTCAAAAATCAAATGGGGAGAATGCTTGGCAATTTATCGCCAAACAGGGATGTTGAACTCGGGCATGTTGAAGTGGCGGGGCGGTGTGCCAAGTGCTGAGTAGACTATTGTCGATTAGTTGTCGAAGCCACTCTGCATAGCCTAAGGGACGGGTGTTCCCTTGGATGTCATCCATGTCATCCTATTGCCATCCATCACTCCGTATAGCCTTATAAAGAATCATGACAATTTGGATTCTTCTTCTATGGTTGTTTATTACAAAGTTTCAGATGGATTTCCATTAATGTATATGGTATTTATTTATTTAAAGTACAACTATGTACAGAAAAAATAATGATCTAATTTAGACATATCAAAAGACAAATGATTATTTTTATGACCTCCATTCATTGAGGTGTAGAGAGGCCGCGGATAAGAAACTAAAGAAGAGAAGAAGGGAAGAGTAAACATAGATTAGAGGAGCATTTTTTTTGTAACAAAACTGTGGAGATAATTCAGAAGGATTTTCCGTGTTTGGAGATGATTGATCAATAACAATGGATTCTTTGCTTGAGTTAGACAAAAAAAGGTGTAAAAGGAGTTTTTGATATCAATATACAAATTAAAAAGTAATTTTGTTTCAATTTAAAGTTTGATTTGGGAATTTTGGTTAAATTTACTTTTGATGTTCGGGTTCTTGGAAAAGGATAAAAGTACATGATTGTAATATTAATGGACTTAATTATTTAAGTGTTAACTGTTAAGTTTGGACGTTTATGTGAATTCTCATTTTAAGGTTCTTGGAAAAAGAATATGAAAAAGACGAGGGTGTCATTGTAATTTTCAAGGATTTAATGGATATGAGTTAAATCACGGTTTCGAAAAAAAAGTCAAAAAGTATTATGGATTATATTATAGGGTGGAAATATTACAATTTCTATTTTATGGACAAAAAAAAGGCAATAAGAAAAACGATAAACCATATCCATAATTATATAAATTATTCTATAAAATACTACAAATTTATGAAAAAAAAAAATTAATTAGCTTTCTTAACGTATAAGTATAAGTGATTAGCTTACAAATTTATAAAAAATCGAGCGTATATACTATATATCACAAAAAACATATACAGAAAGCACCCGGTGGATTCATGCTATGACCAAACGGTCCTTCGCTCTCCATTCCACAAACAAACTCCTTTCCCACCACCTTCGTTTCACCGTCGCCAGTAGAACCCACAGCACCTGCACATCATGGAACACCCAGCTCCGGGAGCTAACAAAAAACGGAAACTATCAAGAATGCCTCGATCTCTACCGCCAAATGCTCCGATCCGGTGCCTCTCCAAACGCATTTACCTTTCCCGTTGCTCTCAAGTCCTGCGCCGTTCTATCTCTCCCAATCTCAGGCACACAGCTCCACAGTCACGTCATTAAAACCGGTTGTAACTCAGAACCCTTCGTTCAAACGGGATTGATTTCTCTCTATGGGAAATGTTGTTTTATCGAAGACGCACGCCAACTGTTCGACGAAAGTCCACACTCCCAAAAACTTACAGTTTGCTACAATGCTCTGGTTTCTGGGTACACTCGAAACAATCAGTTTCAATCCGGGTATGAATTGTTTCGTCAGATGAGGTTTTTGGGTGTTCGCGTTGATGCTGTCACCATTTTAGGTCTGATTCCAGGTTGTACCGATCCTGGAAACTTGAAATTCGCTGAATCTCTACACTGTTTCGTGGCTAAATCTGGACTAGACAACGACTTCTGCGTCGGGAATTGCTTGCTTACAATGTACGTTCGATGTAATTCAAATGAACTTGCGAGAAAATTCTTCGATAACATACCTGTCAAAGAGCTAGCCACCTGGAACGCTATGATCTCCGGATACGCACAAAACGGATACGCCACAGAAGCTTTGGAACTCTACTCAAAATTCGAATCGTCAGGTATGGAACCTAACCCTATAACACTCGTTGGAGTTCTTTCATCTTGTGCTCATCTTGGAGCCCAAAGAATCGGTATGAACATAGAAAAGAAAATACAAACCAGTAGCTACAAACACAACATTTTCTTGAACAACGCTTTAATCAACATGTATGCTAGATGTGGAAACCTAGTAAAAGCCCAAGAGCTTTTCGATACCCTAACAGAAAAAAATCTAGTATCATGGACCGCGATTATAGGCGGATACGGAATGCACGGGCAAGGCGAGACCGCGGTTCATCTTTTTAACGAGATGATACGGGCCAACATCCGGCCCGACGGGCCGGTTTTCGTTAGTGTATTATCCGCGTGTAGTCACGCTGGATTAACTGATCTAGGGTTAGGTTATTTCAATACAATGAAGGTAAATCACGGGCTAAACCCGGGCCCAGAACATTACTCGTGTGTAGTGGATCTTTTGGGCCGGGCGGGTCGACTCGGTGATGCTCACAACATCATTAACACAATGCCAATGGAACCCGATGGAGCAGTTTGGGGAGCTCTTTTGGGTGCTTGCAAGATCCACAAGAACGTTGACTTAGCCGAGTTAGCTTTTGACCATGTGATTAGGCTCGAACCTAAAAATATCGGTTACTATGTTTTGTTATCGAATTTATACACGGAAGTTAATAACATGGAAGGAATATTAAGGGTTCGAGTGATGATGAGAGATCGAAGGCTTAGAAAGGGCCCCGGGTATAGCTATTTTGAGCATAAAGGTCGGGCTCATGTATTTATAGCGGGTGATATGAATCATCCGGAGAGTGAGGAGATATATGTGATGTTGGATAGACTTGATGATTTGGTGAATGTGTCATCTAGGGGTGAAAATGGGTTTGTTCATAGTGAGAGATTGGCGATTGCGTTTGCGTTATTGAGTACTGAAATTGGGGAGGAGATTGTTGTGATAAAGAATTTACGGGTTTGTGGAGATTGCCATTTGTTTATAAAGTTGGTTAGTAAGGTTGTGGATCGTAGATTTGTTGTTAGGGATCCGACTCGTTTCCATCATTTTAAAGATGGGGTTTGTTCGTGTAAGGACTATTGGTAAGGTTGTTACTTGGTCTATACAATAGTAATTTACTTTTATTTATTTTTTGTATTATAGCACCCTACTTTTGTTTCATTCTATTACAACATTGTACTTTGATTTCTTTCGAGGATAATATTGAATGATACATCTTGTGTTACATGGATATTTTTGTCGTTGTCAATAATATTCATTCCATTACTTGTTTCTTACCTACCACACGACATGAGTTAATGATTCAATTCATTCATTCCACCCAAGTAACTCAACATAAACATGACCGTGGAATGGTAATGATCCATTCAATTACCATGTCGTGTCATTCCATCCAACCAAACAAACTCTGATTGCTTTTAGTAGATTCTGATCATTGACATTACCACAAAGTTTACATAAAATTACAATTTTTTGTCACATCTAAAAAAAGATGGGACAAGAACTTTCGTTTGTGCAAAAGACCAGATTTTGGAGTCATTGGGCTCTGCTGAATGGCTCAAGTGCTTCAACAGTGGCTACGCTATTCCCTCTTATGACTTGCGTAAACAAAGCAGGGAGATTTTCGTCAATTTATCAAGGCCAATTACTGTTTAGACCTTGTTTCCCCAATGCCATATCCATAAAATGTTTGTCTTGGTAAATTATGTTTAAAATATATTTGAGAAAATGACCATATACTTACGGAAATGGAAGGTAAAAATAAATTTGAGGATAAATTTATAATAATAATAAAAAAAAAAAAAAAAGAGGATTAATCTTTATGCGAAAATTCCTTTTTCTCTTGACTTTCTCTATTAAATCATTTATTTTTTTATTAGGTCAAAAGAAAACACCACATTAATCTTGTGATAAAAAAAATCCACTTACCACCATGCCTATGTCATTTTTTTCTTCACCATTGACTTCCACTGTATTGCCAATGACGGGGTTCATGAACTCGTCAAAACCACCAAATGTTCCAATCACTGTCCGATTGGCATTCAGCTTGACTGTAAAACAATAATGTTAGTGAGAATGTAAAACTCTATATTTCATGTCCACTATTACTATATATTCAAGCTAAAATGTACTTGGAAAGAAAAAAACTTAATGCTCCATACATGATATGAAAACTCTCACGAAGACAACTAAAATGCTTCAAAAAGGTAACTACCATTGAACAATTCCAGTTTAATAGGAGATATTTCATTTGCATGAGTTAGATAATATATTAGCCCCGTACGACTGTAAATACTAAAGAAATTTCTTACCCTAATTTACTAATTTTGTAAATAACGACGATGATCAATCCATTCCGTTGACTGATATCTCAAATGTATTGCAATTAGCATACGTTTCATGCTTGATCCGGACGTTGACCTGATCTGCTCATGGCAAAAGCGAAACCCTATCACTCCGCTCCAACGAGAGAAAGGAAAGGAAGCAGGAAGATTTAGAAAGATCTTTACTCCCGAGTTTCATTTAAGGAGAGAAAGGAAGAGAAAGGAAAAGAATATTCAAGTTAATTTTCCCTACACACTATCCTCCAAAAATCATCCAAATCAGAAGGAACCGTAGAGAAAGGAAAGGAAGATCGACTACTTTAATTTCATTTCTCTCGTTTTCTTTTCTTTTCTTTCCTTTAGTGAACTCGGGAGCGGAGTGTAAAGAGGAACAAAGGAAATGCGATAGAAATGAAACGAAAATTTGCAGGGTTTATTGTGCGCAAAAGCACTATGGATATTGTATCACATATATAAGAGTGGGTTCTAGACTTCCGGTTATATTCGTTTTAATAGGTAAATAACTGGAATTTATATTCGTTTTATTACTAACATTTATTTATTTTGTTATTATTAACAAACTTGTTTGTCAAGAAGTTGAAAACGACAACGAACACTTCTTCTTGTGTCTTCATTGTCGTCTCCCCTTACCATGACAAAACTTTGTTATCCACTAACAAAACCCAAGGGAAGAGGGACCAAAAATCAAATAAGTTGTAAGTTGAAGTAGCAACATCAAGGGAACTTGATGGAACGACTAGTAGCAGAGGAATCGTGAATGGAAAAGCACGTGGGTCGATGTAAAGCCGTAAGGGGGATGGTGGCACCCCTAAACATTAGGTATGTGACAAGAAAGATGGACCAAAACCGAATAACATTAAGGGAACGAGTAGTGGTAGAGGGGGATAGGGAGGAGGGAGGAGAATGATGAAAAGTTTTGAGAACATATACATCTACTTAAGGTTTTGTTTGAAAAATTGGTTTAACCAATTTTCAACAAATGATTTTCTTTCTCATTTTTTAACACGGATTTTGAACCAAAACATTATTCAAGTGGATAAACTGTTATATATTTGTATTCTTCTTGTGATACTTTCGTTTTGGTATATTATATGTCGAAAACAAAATTAAGATGGTTGAGAAAATAATAATTAAAGTAAAATAGTTAGATAAATTGAATATATATATATATATATATATATATATAATATATATATATATATTAAGTGAGTTTTGAGCCATGATACATAACGGGGAGAAGGAAAAAGAAACGATCATAAGTAGGGAGGCCTTTAAGCCTTATCTGTAACACCCGTGTCCCAGGTATTTTCATGTATGACTTAAATTATAAAATTGTTTGCATTTTGGTCCATTACGCGGAGCGTAGATTGCAGCTACGCATGGCATAGCTAAGGAAGTTGGACGTGGCCATTCCATGTAGTACACGGGCGTACCATGCGTACGCAGGGCATAATGTCGTTGAACCAAAACCCTAATTTTTAGGGTTAAGACCCTATTTAAAGGTCTTATTGTTAGGTTTTTATATGTTACAAAATCATGTAGTGGAAAATAACTTAACCCTTAAGTTCACTTGCAACCTAATTGGAACTATGTTTTCACTATAGAAAGCTATAAACTATGAACATCAAAAGAACCCTATTGAAACCCTATTAATTTCAAAAAACATAAAAGGTTCGGGTTTACATACCTTTTAGTTATTGTTGTAAATAACTAATCAAATCCTTTTTCAATAGCTCTTGGAAGCAAGCACCAGAAATCTCGTGTCTCTGATGGTTCACACCCAAACCCTAACAACTATGAGACTTGAAGAGAGAGGAGATGGGAGGTATATTTTTGGCTATCCTTTTGAGAGAAGTGATGGCCGAAATGTGAAGGGTGTAAGACCCTATTTATAGTTGTTAGGAAAACCCAGGATAATCCTTACTTGAGTAAAATAATAATATTTCAAATCAGGTAATTATGTGGTTTCCTAATTATCCTCAAGGGATATTCTTAAAACCCTAGAATATTCCCCCAAAACCGTCAACCTCCTATGGGGAAGGCTCTAGAACCCTTTTGTTCAACTACTGAATATTTACAGCTTAGGTAATTGTACTTTTAATTAATCTAATTAATCCTAAAATTAATTATAATTAATTTCTGACTATTTCTTAATTAAATAATACTATTTCTAATTAATATATTATTCTCATAATATATTAATAAATCATTTATTGCTATTTATTAATCATATAATAAATCAATAAATCAGCCACTCTCTCTAGAAGTCATCCTATTCAATTACTAGGTTTGAGAGCAACCCAAAAGGACTTTGCTAATAATTCAAGTATATACCAATTTAGTTATTGGCATAGACACATAATCTAACACTTATAACCCTTGATACCTCCCTTATCACCAGCCTCCATTCCTCATTTCTGTCATTTCGAAACCCTAACCTTTTAGAGTTCGTTTTGAACCTTAAAAGTGTTCTTGGAGCATTGTGGAAGAAGGAGAAGCACACTATTGAGGATTTTTGGGCTTGGAGCTTGTAGATCCAGAGTTTCCTTCACCTTTGCAAGCTTTTGGAGGTATAAAGTTCTCACCTTGATGGTTCATTTGCTAGATCTTGTTTGTTGGTGAATCCTTATGTGTTTTTGGTCCCATGGCTTTGGTTTTTGTGAGTATGAGCTACTTCAAAACCCTTGAGCATCATTTCTAGCCATTTCTGAGGTTGTTAAGTCATAAAAATCAGATCTTGAGGGTTATAGCCCACCGATGCATGTAGGGCTGTTAATCGGGTCAACCCGATTGGGTTTCGGGTTAAACGGGTCGGGTTAATCGGGTTTTTTCTTAAAAAAAATTGACCCTAAACCCGACCCTATTAAGGTTTGGGTTAGTCGGGTTAGGGTTAGACGGGTTTCGGGTTAACCAGGTTGGGTTAGTCGGGTTAATCGGGTTTAAATAGAAATAAAGTAATATTTGTTTATTTTAGCAAATAACTTATAAATATAAGGACCTAAAATGTAACGTTTTAAAAAGTAAACTCTTTGTACATAGAATGAATTAAAAAACTAAAAAACGTGGGTTCATAAACTTGCTGTAACTTACATATACATAATTTTTGTTACCTTTTGAACTCTCTGTGACTTATATATAAAGAATTTTTATAAGCTTTTGAACTCTCTGTTAACATAGCATTTATCAAAAATGTCATTTTTTTGTATTTTAGTAATTTGTAATTAGTTACTTAGTTTATAAATTGACATGGGTAAAAACTTAAATATTAAATACTTGTTGAAACATTCAATAATAAAATTTACGTCACAGCAACAATTTAAAATATTAGCAACAAAAATCAAAATGAATTTGAAATCAAGTGTTTATATCCAAAATAACTGTTGAATTGGCAAAACAAACTTCCTTTCTTTCATCTCTGACGCTCAAAATTATAAGCTTGCATAATAATTTTATTATTTCAAAGAACATGTGTTTGTACTTCACATGTGGGGGATACAATATGTAAAAAAATTATAGTATGCCCCTTATTCGGGTTAATCGGGTTAACCCGCAACCCGATTTTTTTTTAAAAATCAACCCTAAACCCGACTCTAAATGCAATTCGGGTATGTCGGGTTAACCCGAATGACCCGATTTAGAATTTTGACCATATTAAACCCGACCCTAAGTACCTTATTCGGGTTCGGGTTGAGTCGGGTTAATCGGGTTCGGGTTTTTTTGACACCCCTAGATGCATGAATT